TAGAAATACAGAAGGTGTCCCGTCCGGCCCTCACCTTCCAACCGGCTGAACTGTTGCTGTCTCCCTTATCCTTGAAGTAGGGCACGCTCTTGACCATCCACTCGTAGATCTGGGAGAGGGTGAGTCTCTTCTCGGGGGAGCTCTCGATGGCCTTGGTGATGAGGTCCGCGTAGGACAGGTTACCCCAGGCGTTGCGGCGCGACGAGCTGCTCTTGCGGGGCTGCCCGGCCACGGGGCCCGGCGACAGCGCGGCCACGGCCGGAGGTACCGGTGGCACCGGCGGCGGTCCCGGCGGGTGCAGGCGGCAGCCGGCCTCGGGCGCCGGGAAGTCCCCGCAGCGGCAGGCGGCCGGCTCCGGGGGGGCGGCGGCGGGCGGCAGCGCGAAGTCCTCGCTCTCCTCCACCAGGCAGAGGTTGCTGATGAAGTCGGCGCTCAGAGCCCCGGAGGCGGCGACGGCGACGGCAGCTCCGGCCGCGGCCGCCCCGTCGGGCTGCCCTCCGCAGGACGGCGCGGGGCTGGAGGTGGCCGAGCTGGGCGGGTTGAACTCCGGCCGCGGCAGGGGCCAGGTACACGAGCGGGGTCGCGGCAGCGGCTCGAAGTCAGGGTCGATGTCCACCAGCTGCGGGGCCTCGGCCATGGCGGCGGCGGCGGGGGGCAGTGGGACGACGGGGGGCAGCGGAGCGGCTCAGCACCGCCGCCCCATGCAAGCTCCGAGCGCGGATCTGCGCGGTCCCGGACGGCGCGGCAGCCGACTCCCCTCGCGGCTCTCGACCTCGCAGCTCCGGCCCCGCCGCCCTGCCCCGCTCCTCGCCCTCGGCTGCGGCGGCAGCAGCGACCCGGCCGCCCGGCGCGCACCGACTGCAAAGCCTGCCCCGCCTCCAGCCTTCCTCCTCCTCCTCCTCCTCCCGGCGGGGAGGGCCGGCCCGAGCAGCGCCAATGGCAGAGTGGCGCCGCCCGCCCGCCTCCCGCCGCGGGGCCGCTGCTGCGGGAGGGTGCCGGTGCCCCCGTGCTGTTTGTGGGCGGTTTGTGTGTGTTTGGGGTTTGGGTGTTGTGTTTTGTTTGGGTTTTTTTTGTGTGTGTGTGTTTTTTTTTTTTTTTTCCAGCGCGAAGCCGCCGCGTCCCGTTGGGGACGAGCGCTGTCACGGAGCGGAGCGGAGCCGGGACTGTGCGGGAAAGTCCCCGCATGGGAGCTGCCCTCGGCCCCGACGGCAGTGGAGCGGCCCCCGGCGTGCGGCGGAGGCAGCCGCAAAGTTTTCCGTGTTTGAAACAGAGAGGATGCCATCGGCTTTGCCGGGAAAGGCGATCCCGGGGATGAGATCCCTTTTAACGCAGCCGATTTTTTTAACAAGATCTGCCTCGTTTCCCGTAATGCTTTAACAACCCATTGTAGCCTTAGCTTCGAAACCCCCAGCGAGCCCAGTGCTGGGAGCTGCCCGTCCCGCGGCTGTCCCGTCGGGCCGTGGGCTGCTCCCGCTCCCCTGAGAGTGTCGGAGTTACTTAAGTGTAGCTCGTTGCTCCTAGAAAAATATGCTCCTACAATATTAAGGAGAAGAGTAGAGTAGGAGACTGGATTTAGGCCCACAGCGTAACAAATAATGCCTCTACGTATGTAAGCGGGTAGGAACTGCTGGCACTGAACGCTCTGCTGCTGCCGTGATCGTTCTCCAGCACGCGAAAGGCGATCGCTGTGTGCTGCTGCCAGTCGCACCCCGGAGTCCCTTTGCTTTAAGTCTCTTCTGCGCTTTCCAAAGCCTGCTGAGGACTCAGCCCGCAGCTCTGTATCGTTTTGCCCATAGATATTTTAAAAGATAATATTTTTGCGTCCATTTAAAGAAAAAGAAAAGCGAAATAGTTCCTGCTCACCCTCCCAGTGCCACGTCCCAGCCCCGGGGAGCAGTGTCTGCCCGCGCTCCCCAGCGCAGCTCAGAACAGCGGGGTTGTGCGAGATGGGATGCGAATGGGCGCACAGGAGGGAGCTGAGGCAAAAGGGCAGCCCATGAATAACCGAACCCTTTCCTTGTACTTTTCTGGTGCCTGAAATAAAAGTCAAAGAGGCAGGCCAGCACCCATAGTGCTGGGGGAAATGCATTTACTTCCAGTCTTTGCTGCTTTTAGTTTTTTCATAAAATCTCTGTTCTCTCAGACCTTTGTTGTCACACACATCTCTCCTTCCATATGAGCTGTGCCCAGCAGGACGAGGGCTGCAGAGGACTCCCGGTCAGCACCAGCACATCCCCAGCTCTGCCCGTGTGGTTGTGCAGGTGGGCGTCTCTGGGGTTGCGTGTGCCCAAACACCACCAAGGACCCTCGGGAGATGCTGCCACAAACAAAATGCTCCATTCAGCTGCTGGAGCAGAGTTACTCCTTCCCAAACAGCTCAGCACGCTGCTGGCTCCGTGGAAGACATGTTACCCCATCTGTGAATGACAGCGTTAAGTTTATCTCATCTCCCACAATGCCTAAACGCTGATGGATGCTCCACAATTCATTCTCTACTCCCACAGCCCTCCTCCCACACTCCACCTTTCCATTTCTCTCCTCCTACTCCTGCTCCCATTTTCTACTCCTCTACAATGCATTTTCTCCTCTCATCGTTTACATCCACGTGTGTTTTTCCAAATGAAAGACCCGAAGATTGCCTTTTATCTTCAGTGGAAAATAGCAGAGCCTCTTATTCATACGCCGGGTTTGAGACAGCCAAAATAAAGGATCTGCTCTGCCTTTTTACTACTGTATGTCTAATTCACTTTCAGAGGTTTTGATCACGTTCAGCAGGGGATTGCATGAAGTTGCAGGCAGTGCTGTTCTGTGCAGAGCTCCTTTTGCTGTGCGTGTGAGCACGGTGAGCGAACACACGTGTAACACAGCAGTAAGCCATGATGAAGGATCAGTTTTGTGCCAGGTATGACAGAAGCTGTTGTGCTGGGAGGAAGATGACTGCAGATGAAGACTGGGGGAGATCAGCACCCCTGTTTTCTTCCCTCCTCTCTCAGTGGGGTCTGACTTTACAGAACGTTTGATTGCATATGGGAAATGAATGAGGCCATTACCTCTCATGTTATCACTAGCTCCCTATACTTCTGAATTGTGTTATTTGAAGGAATCAGAATTTAATTTTTTTGTCTAAGATGAAAGTACTTGGATGTTTTTCCTGATGAAGAATGAAGAATAGAAATAATAATATGCTGTTATTGGCTTGTGTGTTTAATGTGGCTCAGATTCCCACCTAGCATGGTTAATAGGAGTCGGACAAAATCATATTCCCTGAATAAGTCCCAGTGAGACATACATAGAATCATAAAACCATAGAATCATAGATGGCCCACGTTGGAAGGGACCTCAAGAATCATCAAGCTCCAACTCCCCCTGCTGCAGGCAGGGCCACCAATCTCCATTTAATACCAGACCAGGCTGCCCAGGGCCCCATCCAACCTGGCCTTGAATACCTCCAGGTATGATGGGGGGGCATCAACAACCTCTCTGGGCAGCCTGTTCCAGCACCTCACCACTCTCATAGTAAAGAATTTCCCCTGACATCAAACCTAAATCTTCCCTTCCTCAACTTAAAACCATTCCCTCTCGTTCTGCTGTTATCTACCCTTTCAAATAGTTGGCTCCTCTCCTGTTTGTAGGCTCCCTTTAAGTACTGGAAGGCTGCAGTGAGGTCATTCACAGCCTTCTCTTCTCCAGGCTGAACAAGCCCAGCTCCCTCAGCCTGTCTCCATAAGGGAGGTGCTCCAGCCCCCTGATCATCTTTATGCCCCACCTCTGGACCCTCTCCAACAGCTCTGTCTTGCTTGTACTGGGGGCTCCACACCTGGACGCAGTACTGCGGATGGGGACTCATGAGGGCGGAGAAGAGAGGGACGATTATTGGGATCCGCAAGTTGCCATCACACTCCCCAAGCAGAAGAGGAAGATGAGCCAAAGGAAATCCATAGCACAGCCCCTTATCTTAGGTAATCTGTCCAGGCTGAGCCCCAGCATTTCACCATGTCCAGCTCACACTCACGTGCAGCCATGCCGAGGTGAAAGACTGAAGTGCAGCGTGCCCAAGAAGTGATCCTCACTGGGATCAATACAATAAATACCAAAGGTAGTGCCCCAGCAGCTCTATCTGCTCCCACTGTGTCATGTGCAAGCACCGAGCGTGATGTAAAAACAGAAGGCAAGAGTTTATCGGGTTTCAGATTCAGCTGAATCACCCGACCCACCCCTATGCAAAGGCCAATGTGCCTGGAAGTAAACACAGTTCGAGCAGCACGTATGTTTTCCAGGGTGTTGGGTTTCTGTTTTGTCGTAAATACGATCCATTACAATATTCTCCCACATCCTCCAGTCAGTGGCTCGGCGCTTTCAGGTGCCTTTCTCGGTGGTTGTTTTCCTTTCTGTATCGCTTGAGGAAAAACTGACTGGCTCCGTCTGATAGCTTTTGTATATTAAATAATTTGATTGTGTTTGAGCAACAAACTAAAAACAGGATGTTTGACAGTTACGGTGTAATGCAGTGGTTTCTCTTGAACCCGCGCGAGGGAAAATTCATGGCGCAGCACAACGCGGTGCCTGACAAGCAGAATCATAGAGCTGCTTCATCTCCTTCCCCTTTATTTCCCCAGAACAGTGATAGCTACCTGTCATCACCGAGAAGAATCACGCACACCCAAAACGGGCACAGAGGCGGTGGCACAAGGAAGGCTCACTTTTAAAAACAAACATATTTCCCCGTTGTTTGAATTCGTGCTTGAAAAGCATATTTATATCTGCGTAAAAATGCATTTGCATACAAATGAGCGCATTATGCATACACTACACATATGCACGGTATCATTATATACATTCTACTCTAGATTTATATAGATGGAGACGTGGTTAGGCAATAATAGCAAGGCGGTGTTTTGACATATATGTATGTATTCCTACTCTGCTGGTAAGTAAGGCATTAAAGAAGGCGGTGTTGGGACAGGATGCTCAGTAGGTAAGGTACATCCCACGCATGGATATGCTTATGGTAGGGCCACACCAGAAATGCAGCTAGGCCAAGGGGCTGCACCAGAAGGAAGACGACCCAGCTGTACTCTCCTGCTGCCATACCCGGTAGCTCTGTGCTTCTGTTTACCTCTCTGTAAAATGGGTATAAGTAATGCTTGTCTGCTGGGACCGTGTTCATTAACAGTTTAAACACAGCCCTGCTCTGTGAGGAGGCTGGTTTCAAACCAGCTAGGTGCCAGCCTAGGATCTTCCTAAGAACAGAAGCATGCTTTGTAGCAGCATGGAAGCAGGTAAGAAGAGCCACCAGCAGTTGCAATTTTGCATTTGCCAAGCTCTGAAGACTGAACCTCGTCTAGGATCAGATGGAAGTAACCTCATTTCCATAGCTTCTGAGCTTACCCACAGTGCTCTCAGCAAAGCCAAGGGTCAGCCTTTACTTCTGAGGAAACGAGGAGGAAGCCAGAGACTCTGGGCAAGGTGAGGGGTTGGGCAGACAGCTACTCTCCTGTGACCCATAGAATGAAATGCCAAGGCCCCACTGCACCCCTTGCTAGTACTTTGCCTAGGAGCACTCAGGAGAGATGATGGCTACCGATGGCTACATTCAAACATAGACTTGGGAGTCAAAAGAAAAACAAATTATATGTAATTCCTTAATGTACG